CTGATAGAGGAGAAAGTGCAGATTAGGCTTGAACTCATTGGCACAGGGAAGGACTTTATGAACAGGCCACTAATAGCACAGACCCTAAGATCAATATTGAATAAATGGGACGGAATGAATCTGAAAAGCTTCTATATGGCAAAAGACACTGTCAATCGGACAAATCAGCAGGCTATGGGATAAGAAAATATTTTTACCAATTGTGCATCTGATAGAGGGTTAGTATCTAAACACAGAAAGAACTAAAAAGGCAGAACATCAAGAAGACAAATAGCCTAATTTTAAAGATGGAGTACAAAACTAAATAGCCAGTTCTAAAAAAAAAAAAAAAAAGAAAGAAAGAGAGAAAGAAAGAAAGAAAGAAAGAAAGAAAGAAAGAAAAAGAAAGAGAGAAAGAAAGGGAGAAACAAATGGATAAGAAACACTTAAAGAAATGTTCAGCATCCTTAGCCATCCAGGCAATGCAAATTAAAACTACTTTGAGATTTCATTTTAGCACAGTCAGAATAGCAACAATCAAGTAAGCAAATGACAGCTCATGCTGTCAAGGAAGGAGAGTAATGGGAACACTTATCCACTGCTAGTGGGAGTGCTATCTTGTATAGCCACTATGGAAATTAGTGTCATGGTTCTTTAGGAATCTGGGAATAGATGTACCTCAAGATTCAGCTATCACACACTTGGGCATGTACTCAAAGAACTCAACATCCTATTATAGAGATACCTACTCATCCATGTTCATTGCTGCTTTATTCACAATAGCCAGAATTGGAAACAGCTCAGAAGTCCATCAACTGATATATGATTCAGGAAAATGTGGTACATTTGCACAATGGAATACTGTTCAGCTGTTAAGAAAAATGAAATCATTAAATTCACAGGTAAATGGATGGAGTTAGAAAAAAATTATTCTAATGAGGCAACCTAGACCCTCAAAGACAAATATTATATCTTTTCCTTTATATGCGGATACTAGCTTTTAAGCCTTTAATTTTTATGCTACCATCCAAATAACTACCTGGTTAGGGACTAGACTAGAGGAGAGGTGAGCATCTCCCCAAAAGAGTGTTTTATAAGTGTTTGGCACTGAACTCAGGACTTCACATGTGCCAGGCGAGTGCTCATATTGCTGAGTTCCTGAACCCAAACTGAGAAGGAGAAACTAGGAAAATTAATAGGTGTAGAGTTTCTTCTTGGGATGATGACAGTGTTCTAGACATGCAGGTGGTTCTATAAGATTGATATACTCGATATAATGAATTTTATATCCAAGAATGATAAAAATTATTTCTGTCATGAATTTCAAGACAGTAAGAAAAATCCCCCAAAAGCAGAAGACACATAGTCTGTTGAATTTTATTTACTCTGCAATTCTTAAACCTGGTAGCTGGGTTTACCTGCTGGAGTTCAGTGGTCCTTGTCCTACTACAGAAAGATGCTAGAAGGTGAATGTCGCTTACATGTTCAAGGAAAAGTTTCTATCAGTTTTAAATGATTGATATTCTGGGGATCATCAGAGTTAGCAATAAGATAGCATATAAAATTCTATAAAAGTGTGTGTTCTACATCTTCATGGTGGGTATGTAAGAATGTATACACCTAGCCTAACAAATGAGGAGTGTGACTATGGGTGTGAAGTGAATGGAGATAGTCTGATGTATTGCTTTTGGGTACCAGTTAGCTGTGAATTATTTAGGTACAGCAAAAATAAGCTAGAATAAAAGCTGTAAATGTCTTTGTATTTTGGTGCTTATACAAAGTCTTCAGATATAGTCTATAAATTTACTTCCTTGAAACAGTCTTCCTGCCTAAAAAATCAAATTGTGTTATTTAACTCCAATGCAAAGAACAATTTAAAAGTAATCTTTGCTGTTCAGCTACTCGAGTCTCCCAGGAGATATTAGTGGAGACTTCAAGGCAAATAACTATTGCATTTCTCCATAATGCCTTGCAATACCCACAGCATTTGCTTTAGGTAAGCAGAGTGTTTTTCCAGGATAATTTCATACACTTTTTCAAGTTCATATCACACTTCTCCTTCTTTCAAGTCCAAAAGAACAGTTTCTCATGAACTACCACTTCTACTAGAAAGTTGGGGTTTGTGGCATGTATACCCACTGTACTGCATGTGTTATCATACACTTCAAATTCCTGAAAGTATTATTGTAATAATTGCATACAAGTTTTAAAATGGGATTTTTGTTTACCCTGACAAGTGTCTGGAATTGTCATGGCCAAAGAGTGCAGTGCTGAGGAGCGCCAATGTTGTAGATGTGCAGGGACTCTGTCACGTCCCTTCACTAGCTATGTGACTAGGGGAAAGACAGTCGGCCCTGTGTGCTTCATACAGCTTATCTGTAAAAATGTTACTAACTATGATGTTTACTTAGATAACTGTTATTAGAATAAAAAAATTGACATTTATAAAAAAATTATAATAGCATTGGCCTATAAAATGCTATTTAAATAGTTGTTTAATATAAAATAAATTAGCTAGGATCCTATATTTTGTGATTTTATTTTTTCATATGCAAAAATGGAAATTAAAGCTTTTGTGAGGCTGGGTATGATATCCCAGTACTCAGGAGGCCGAGGGCAGGAGGATCATGGGTTCCATATCTACTGAGAGAATAGAAAAACATTTTTATGCATGTTACTAAAGTGTCAATAGTGCTGATTTATGGAAAATTAAAATTTTAATTGGAAGCTTGTAAAGATAGCTCTGTGGATAAAATGTTTGCCCCACAAGCATGAGACCTCAATTTGGATCCCCAGAGTCCACATTAGAGCAAAAACTCAGCAGGTGTAATGGCCAACTGTAATCCCAGAACCCAGGAGATGAGGGATGCTCAGGACAAGCTGGCTACCTGGACTTGGTGAACTGCAGGTTCAGTGACAGACCCTGTGTCAGTAAATAAAGTGGTGAGTGATGGAGAGAGACAACTGACATCAACTTAGACCTCTACACTCATGCTCAGGCGACCACCGCATGTGTGTACACCACCCACACAGACATGTGTGAAGCAAAGTTTGGCAAAAGTGTTTACTGTATCATTCCTGGTGCATTTTCTGCAGAGTGTAGAATGTCCCCACGCGTGTGGACTAGTGGGTTTTGATCACATACCTTAGCTTATTTGCTCCTTGTCCTACCTAAGAAGGGACACTTTCCCATGGCAAAGGTATCAGATTAATCATTAAGACTTCACCAGCACGTGACATCATAATTAATCCATATAAATTACCCTAGTGATATTAAGAAAATAATTTATATAATCTGTGATGTGAGAAATCAGTTGTTTCATTATTCATCAACCATTCTGGAGTTTTGATTTAATTTAGTTTGTTGTGTATTATTTTACTGCTCTATTAACTTAATGATCGGTGCAATTATTTATAGTTTGTGATATTAGGTAACAGATTTAGTAGGTATTATTATTCATGATGAAATAATGTTTATGGATATTATGGAAAATTCTATTTTAATCTGAACGCTGTTTGCAGTTTGATTATAATGAATTCTTTTCTTTCTCTAAGATTCACATGAAACAACTGTAAGTTTAATTTCCCATTAATATAGATGTATCCTAATTCTCAGCATTGTTGCACATAGAATAGGCAACTGACAGTTCTTACTCCTCACTTTGTTTCTCATGTGTTCATTTATGATGTCGTTTGTTTATTTTTCCAAGACCACAGCTAATGACTGGTCTTTATTGTTGCTTCTGTTCTTGGGAATTCCGCAGAGACATCTGTGTCCTGGCTTTGCAGTGCATTGTTCTAGTCATTACTACAACATAGGCTTTATATAACTTATAGAATTTCCATTTATATTTATGGATTTCCTTGGCCATTCAGTTCGAGACCTATAGATTAGACTGGCCAATCTATCAAGGTTTTCACAGGAAAAGAAAATATGGGTGCCCAAGTTATATGTAATTTCCAATTTTCAAAGCTTGCCACTGAAAACAAACAAACAAAGCCGGGTATGGTGGTGTATGCCTTTAATCCCAGCACTGGGGAGGCTGAAGCAGTTGGATCTCTGTGAGTGCAAGGCCAGCCTGGACTACAAAGTGAGTACCAGGACAGGCTCCAAAAGCTACACAGAGAAATCCTGTCTCAAAAAATAAAAAAATTTAAAAAAAATGAAAAGAAAACAAACAAAAAACAATGTCCAGTTTCTTGGTAAATTGGACCTGAATTAGTGTATAAATTCACTTGTCTTTACCATTAATTATGAATATTCATACTTTTATTATGTAAAAATTAATGGTTTGTTTGCATAATTTTGGCATCCTGGTGGATATATATATATGTGTGTGTGTGTATGTATGTATGTGTATATATATATATATATATATATATATAACCTTATACATATACTATCTTGTTTTTCTAAAATCTGAGGAAAATCACATATTTGGAAATACATTTGGATTCATGGTTACATCAGTCTGTAACCATCAACACCAAATTGTCTAAGAATACAAAATAGATTAAGAATGTTTTAGATTAACTATAGTTATAGTGGATCAATGAGACATTATATAATTAGGATTCATGGTTCTAGATCCTTTAAATAAATGCTGTTGTTAATATGGCTTGCCAAATTCTCCATGAAAATAATTAGTAAAAGGCTAAAGATTTGAGTGTTTGATTCTTATATCACATGTTTTAAAGAGCTATTTACCTGGCTCCACATGTTACTTACATGCACTGAAAAATGAATTATAAGTTAACGTGAGCCAACAAACAGCAATGTGATGTTTGAATAGAGTGATGATAGCATATCATGAGATGCAAATTTCATATGTTATGTTTGTGTGTATTCAACTTTCTGAAGTTTAATCTTAGGATGGAAATTTCTGTATGAATTGTATTGTTGTGATAGTCACAATTTCCAGATAAGAAAGGTAAATAACTAATTGTATAATCCTTTCATGAATGACATTGACTTTAAAGTTTTTTCAACAAACTAATTTTTTTAACTACCTTGTTTTTAGGCATTTGCTACCAGGGAGTACCCAATTCCTCATGAGATCATCACTGTACAACATGAAATATAATTCACCCGGAATGACTCGCTCCAATGTTTTGTTTACATCCCGATATGGCCATTTGTGAGACTGAGTAGAAGACTGCCATGGGCTATACATAATAACAATTCATTTATTTTCTTCAGCTGAACCTTAAGGAAGTGGCCCTTATGTGCTGTTTTATGTATATATGTCATAGAAGTGTGTGGAATACATACACACATGCACTCAAGTAACATATAAATATATATTTATTATATGTAAGAAGAATTAGCAGAAAACTGAATATAAGGTTTAACCTTTCTGGAAATGTAATAAACCATATTAAAGTTGTTTACACAAATATGCAAATGTGTAGAATTTGCTAGGTTTATAATTAATTACTTCCTACTAGAAATGTTATTTTTGCTGCAGAGTATATAAAGCAGAATCGATCTTGAAGAGCCCATCACAGTGTTAAATTATTTTCTAGATAACACAGCTTTGACTTCAGAAAGCACTATTAGTATCTTATTACTTCTCTTCCTCACAGTAGCTATTTAACAGCGAAACACAAAAGACGTAGAAGCCTGGGGCTGGTTTAACAATAGGATTCGGATAAAACGGGCTTGTTGTTACTATAGCACACCATAAAGTGCTAGAAAATACCCCAGCCTGACTCTCCAACATCTTATTCCCCTATAGGGAAATTTAGCTGCTTGCTCTAGTGTGTATTTTCAATAAAGATCTGATAAGATTATGGTGTGATCTAAACCGGGAGACAACCCGGAGGTTAAGACTAGAATGTAAACTTGCTTTAATTTGACTTTCTATGGGGAGCCACCTAAAGAAATGAGATGATGTCACACACAGAAACAAGATGATGTCACACATAGAAACAAGATGATGTCACATACAGAAACAAGATGATGTCACACACAGAAACAAGATAGTGGCCGTGACAGAACATTTGCTGTATGACTTTTGTCTCATAGCACTTACTTTTCTTTGGAAAGTGTATCATTGATGAGTTTAAGTTTCTTAATGTTGACACCAATTTTCCTTGCAAAGTCTAATGACCGTAGTTTCTCATTTCAACTCAGAAAATTATCTAAAGACTCTTAAGAGAAGTCTACATTGAGCATACGTCACTATTCACTGATGTGCCCTGGAGGGGGTCTTTTGTTCAAAGTTCAGTATGGCATTGTCTTTCTGTTCAAAGGTATCCTGCGTGTGTTTCAGAGCAGCATACTCCCATGCTCCTTTTTCTTGTCTGCAGTTTCAAAACTAATGTGTGTGCTTTCAGTTTCCATACAAATACAGACAGCACACTCACAAATTTTTGAACTCAGTAAATATAATATTTGCTTAAACTTCCTTCCAATGGTTTTACTCGGAGATGCTAAGTATTTGCAAAACTCATCCTGAAATCCACTTCCAGTAAATGGAGAAATGACTCCAAAGCAGCAGAAGTGAGAGCCCATTTGTCCCAGGTTCATTCAAAGTTGGGTTGATAGTTACCCAAAGTTGTAAGGTATATGTATTTTGCTTTTCAAACCACTTTTGGAAAGTATTTTTTTACTACAATATTCAATTTTTACACAAATTTCTACTGGCTATTTTACTTCTTTATGGCTGCCTACCCACACACATTCCATTTCCTACTGGGTACATCCCATATTAATTCTGTCTTGTGTTTTTGAAGGAGAATAAAGCCTCCAAATGAAGAAAATGAGTGTGATATTTAAGAGTCCATATTTTGAATTTTTCAATATGTTACAGTGTTCTTAAAATAAGTGATGGAAATATTGGAACATTACAGAATCTTTATGGGATTAATCAGCAAATCAGTCCTCTTTATGGTTTATTTGTAGTCGTCTTTGTTTTAAAAATCATGGAGAAATAAAAGAACACAAAAATCATGGAACTGTGTTTTAAAATGATTGGTAAGTGGTACCAACACAGTTTCTTGGTAATTCAATTTGTTTATCTCACATCACATGATCATTTAATTAGCTAGAGTGTATGCTTTGAAACTTCTGTCTTTTACAAGAAAGGCATTTTTATTTAAAACCAAAAAAATTGGGACTGTCCAACATTAAGAATTTTCACTTTAGAAACACCCATCCATTAAAAACTAAGAGTACATTTAAATACATAACACTGCCAAGTATTAGGTAAACAAACATCATTTCCCTAGCTACTCAAGCAAGGCCTTGTTTCGAGCACTAGAATTTCATTGCCTACATTTTCCTGTTTCAACTAGTTGTATACAATGAAGTTGTGCAGAAAGCCATGTGCTCATTATTTATGTGCATTACCTGGTGTGCTGTGGACTGTGGCTGTCATAGCACCATTCCCTAATGAGCAGCTATGAGAAGACATGATAATGAGCCATGGAAGTCTCAGGAGGCCATAGACAGGTATTAGAGGTATAAAATATTCCTTAGTTTTTGTTATCAATTTCTTATGCATATGGTTAAGCATATCTGCATAGGAGACTGTAAATCTCTCTTTCAAAGGAGAAAAAGAAAACCTCAGAAACTACTTAATCTCACCAGGGTTTTGTTTGTTGTTTTTTTTTGTTGTTTGTTTGTTTTTAGAATGGATTTTAGTTTACTTACAAGGGTATGGAATAGGTATAGACAGGCAGCCCTAGTAGTTTGGTTCGTCTCAAGGTTGGAATACTTCCCTAAACTGTAAGATATGAATATTTTCCAAATCGTCCAAGTAGTATCTTGTTTGTTTTATATCATCACCTACAAACATAATCTAAAATCACAATTTAGTTTTCGCTTGAGTAAGCCAGCCTTGTGGGTTTGAATATATTAAAAGACCCCATTGCAATTCATTTTACTTTGCATGAATTTTATTTTGTTGTATTTCACTTATCTCTAATATAGCAACATAAAGTTTTATATGGAGCACAGAGTTAAGCAACTCTGCTGTCTGTAAGGATTTGCCTAAATTAGACCAAATCCCCTAAAGTTTCCATGACTCCTCATCTCTAAAGTCCAAACCCAACCCAACCCGCACTCCTTCTTTTACCTAATATTGATGTATGCACAGAAACTAAGTGGCTCCTAGACTTCAAGTAAATGATTTAATTCAAATTGTCTCTTTAGCTTGGAAAATAGATGAGTATGGGATTATGCTGATTTGAAATTTCAGATGTTTGAATATAAATTCAATGCTTTCTTCTTTAACATGTCAATGTCATTCTGTGTAAACATTATCTTCAAATTTAGACATATGCAATATACACTATTCAAAATACCAAAAAGATATCTGCACACATGTCATTATTTAATCTTCTATAATGCACTGATTCATTCTTAAATATATATTCTTTTAAAAAATAGTAAATACCTCAAGAGCGACAGAAACTCCCTTTTCTATTTAGCAATGCTAATTTACATTTAGAATCTCATGCACTTGGTTCTAAGCATTAACCAACAATAAAAATATAACTGTACAGTTGTGTTACTGTGACCTGGTGATTTGGGGGCATTTTCTTTTCTCTTTAAATTTAGAGCTTCAAGTGTAAAGGGCCATGATATCTACATATTGATCATTAGATATTTAATTGTTTTTCCACTAATGTTGGCTTGTAAATAAATGAAAACTGTAGAAATATATTCATAAAGAAAACTTGATTCCTCACACTACTTTCTCTCAAAACTATTTTCCTTCTTTAAATTCCCTTTGAAGCTTTAGCTGTGCATGGACAAAGAAAAAGAGAAATATTGCCTTTTAAACATTGCTATTCCTTGAATTCTTATAGTGGTGTGTTTTTACCTGAGCAACAATAAAACTTCAATGAAATATTGGGTAAAGTTCAGTATACTGAGAACTTTAGGAACAAGGTTGAGGTCTGAATGCCTAAAACACATGAAATATGTGGATCTCTGTGAAGTGAGATACACTTTAACGTCTTACAACAGAAATTGATACTTGAAATGGCACACATTAAGATTGCGCCTATTTTTGAGGGTCTGTCATGAGGTGGTGTCTGGTGTATTGCAAGAAATTTACTCAGGTAGACATTGTGATGCTGAGGGTTTTATCATCTAGGAAGAACTGTCTAATGCTTCTCCTTTACACCACCTGTGAACTCGAAAGCTCTTGCCTTGACAAACACATCACTCAGCAGACTAATGAGTCTTAATTAGCAAGAAGGCTTGCCTGTGAAAAGTGGTCAGATGCTTATTCTATTTCTATCAAAGGCTAGCAGCCATTCTGGTACTTGAGTTCATGTAACAACTACTGTACACGCGACAGCATTGGAATTTTAATGGACTTGCAGAGGAGTCTGAATTCGAGGGTGAGAGAATACATTTGCTAACACGAATCATGGATCAAATTATTTCTGTGTGTTTTACTTCCTGTATATGAATATAAATGATACAGAAGATGCTCCTGAAATGTCAACAAACTGTGTCCTTGGCATTGCCATGGCATGCCCTAGCATGTGACACCTGTACTTCAATTACTCAGATATGTTACTATAATAAAAATGTCAACATGAGTCCTACATTATGTCATCATTTGATTTCTATTTTTGCACATGTACATGCACACTGCACACAAACATACTGATTTCAGTAAAAGAGACTGCACCCAATTAAGCAAATTGAATTAAGCTTTCAATTTAATGAACATATTTTCATAGCAATATTTGCTACTGTGCAACAGCTTTGAGAGGATAGTGCTACCTGCTATTAAGAATCAGTCCAAGAAGATAAAATGGTGAACAACTTTTCTTCACTGAATGGAAGACAGAGTGTTCTAAAAGTTAGTAGTGACAATTTAACCTGATTATATAATATATTATCTCAGGCATGAATGAATTTTATGTTTTAGAAATTTATAATTTCATCATTTGTTAGCAATATTCAAAACTTCAAAGTGAAGCACATTTTAGCCTTGTTGCCATTGCTCAAATTGTTCTTTGAGATGTTTATAACAAGTTTGAGATAGTTTCCCTTTATTTGTTTAATATGCTGGAGAAGGAACTCAGAGCTCCATGCATAGTCAGCAAGGAATCAAGTTGAACTTTAGACCACATGGGCTTTCTTTAAAGAAAGGAGTGTAGCTGGGGGTATCTACTGGTCCTGCCTGGCTCACCATCAGGACAAATCTCTCACCTACCAATCCCACAGCTACTCGGACCCAAATAAACACACAGATGCTTATATTATTTATGAACTGTATGGCCGTGTGGCTCAGGCTTCTTGCTAGCTAGATCTTACATCTTAAAAACACCTTCCTATAAATCTATACCTTGCCACGTAGCTCGTGGCTTACTGATACTTTACATCCTGCTCCTCATGGCAGCGGCTGGCAGCATCCCCTGACCCAGCCTCCCTGTTCCCAGAATTCTTCTCTCTTTTTGTCTTGCTGATACTTCCTGCCTGGCTACTGGCCAATCAGCACTTTATTATCCAATCAGAGCAACACATTCAGAGCATAGAGAACATCCCACAGCGAAGGACACATATTAAAGAAAGGATCCAGTCAGGTAGTAGGTAATTTAACACAGACATGCTATAATTTTTGTAATTGATAAACAAATGATGTAAAAGTGACCGTGTATATGTGTGTATTTATATGTGTATACATGAATGTGTATATCTATGATCTGTGTGTTTGTGTATAATATGCACATACGTATGTGTGCATATGTATGTGTGTGTAGCTATGTGTTTGTATATGTGTGTGACTATATGTGTGTATGAGCTTGCCAACACACTCATGTGCAGAGGCTGGAGGAGGTGTTCTCCTTCCTTGTTGAGCATCTATTCCATGAGACAGGGTCTCTCAGTTACCTTTAGCTCACCATTTTTTAGCTAGGCTCCCTGGTCAGCAAGTCTAAGGGATCATCCTGTCTGGTCCCCCACAGTTGGGGTTACAGGTGCACAGACCATGTTCAGCTCTTGTGTGTGCAGCAGAACTGAACTTAGAGTCTGATGCTTGTTCAGCAAGTGCTCCTACCCACCAGGCTGTTGTCTTTCTCAGTCCCCCAAACTGACTTTTAAAATGCATTTTAAACATTTGTACTATTTTTATAAAAAATATCTATAGCTTTTTTTTCTGCCATGAAAAAAGATGATGCCAATGTGTCTGGTCTTGGTATCTGCCTATTTTATCAAAGAAATCATTATACATTAAATTATACTCATGTAATTCACATATATATATATACACATACATACATATATACATATATTTCAGTTTAATTAAAGGTCTAAAAATCTTTAATTGTAAAATAAAATATCCTGGAATAATTATGGCACTAGAAATCATCTTCAAAACAAAATGAACCTTAAGCTTGTTTGTCAAGAAGATAATAGAATTTTAAACTAATTTGGAGAGAATTTTTAATTATTTGATTATTCTTCATACATGTACAGAGGGTGGTGAAAACAGTACCTGTCGCCATGGTGTGGCAAAAGTGGAGAAGGAAACAGTGAATGCAAAGGTGGTTGTGTTACACTATTGTCTAGGCCTAAGATGAACCGAGCAAGGGGCCTGAGGCTGTAGCTTGGTGGTACACTGCTCACTTCACACCAGCGAGTCACTGTGTACAGTTCCACCACTGCAAAACCAACAAATCCCGAGAGTCGTGAAAGAAGAGACGAAACTGTGCACTAGTTCTACCTCAGCCTCACCATGGTAACGTGCTACAGTGCATGTTCCAAGACTAGTCTTCTATCAAAGGACCTTGGAAAAGAGCAAACTAAACCAGCTTACTTGCTAGTAAGTAATTAAGACATACAATAATGTATTCCAATAAACAATGATGTTACAGGCACAGAGAATTAGACCTGGTGCAAGAAATTTACTAGGACTTGTCACTTGAGATTTGGTCATTAACAGAAGACCATTTAAACCTGATTTTTCAAGAGAGGTGGCTTGGATCCAGCAAGCATGCCCTGAAATAAAATAAGCTTAATGGTGCACAAGTATCAGGTGAGACATTTGCAACATAATTGTGATGGGTAAAGTAGTGTAAAATACTTTAAGAATCCTGTCAGGATGCCATCAGAATGGCTAATGAAAAGACATTCAGCATCTATTGGGTCCTATGTGATAAGGGCTTTTGTCTTTAATGAGATTCTAACATTACTTATTGGCAGCCAAGAGCTTTGTATGCTATCTTGGTATATCTAGAAGCACTTGATGGCCATCTGAAATTATATTCTCAAACAAAAGGGCTGCTGCTGATGTAGGAAGATGGAATTTATCCAAAGCTTGTCACATTATTTGTGAGAGACAATATTTATCGTGTTAGATGTTTTCCTGTGCCTATTTTATTTAGAGAAACATGATGGCAATTTCTCAGCCTTAGTAAGTCCTGTCACAGTTGTTTTATGCCATGCAAAATACTGTTGAATTATCCCTCTTTAACAAAATGACAAAGCTATCCTTGGATATATTTAAGGAGTATAAACTGAAATGTAGTATTACAGTCTAAACTGAAAATTTAAGAATTATATTTAAGATTTAATTTTCAATTATGTGTATCTATGTCTGAGTGTACGTGGGTATGTGCACATGAGTGCAGGTATCCACAGAGACGAGGAGAGGGCATCAGATCCTCCGGAGCTGGAGGGACAGGTGATTCTAAGATGACTTACATGGGTGCTAGGAACTGAATTCAGGTTCTCTGCAAGAGCAGAAGGTGCTCTTAGCTGCTGAGTAGTCTCTCCAGCACCCTAGACTGAAGTATTTCATGCAGTTATCAAAAATATTGACATTATCAACTGAGGAATGACTATCTTTGCTGGTCTCAAAAAGTGACACTCATCTTTTTCTGAACTATCATTTCATGACTCTCTTCCATATTTTAATCAATAATAGAAAAGGTGAATGAATGAAACTCCTAAGAGTAAGTGTAAATGGAGACACATCCTTTGCATATTAAATCAATAATAAAACTTTCAAGGGTAACCACAAAATACATGCATTTAGTCCAGCTTTGTTTTATTATGACAGTTCTGTTGCTTGTATTAGAACAAGATTCTCAAAAAGATCAAGAATGGAATTAATTTCAAAACCTGCAGCATGCTGTTAGCAGTAAAAATGTTAATTTGTGTGTTTATAACACATCTGACTTAGAGGAAAAGTCTATGACAGAGAATATCTGAAAAATCAAGAATATATAAACCTTAATACATTCTAAGAAAATACCATTTCAGCGTATTACCTCATTTTCATTAAAATGATGAAAATGTGAATACAGAAAATCACTTAGTCCTCAGGCTAAAAATAGGTAGATCATCAAAACCTAATATCATTTTAGCTCAAATTGGTATTTGTTCAGTAAATGTTCTACTTCATAATGTGAAAAGTACAAAGGAAAAATTCAAATTTGGGCAAGAAATAGATCTTAAAAAACAAACAAACATCCAATTCTATTGTTTTGCCTTCTGAAGCTGAAGCTATAGGCTTTCCATGAAATGTTTATTGCAAAAAAAAAAAAAAAAAGAATAAGCAGATCCCTCAGAAATGATCTTGAGTTCATCCAGCACTGCAGCAGCTTAGCCTCGGGTTCTTCAGCCAAGTCTTACTTCTACTCAATTTTCAAATCTTATCATCTCTCAGTTCCATCGCACTCACTTCCATCTCTTCTCCTATGAAGCACAGCTATGTCATCTCTAAAATAAAAAATAATAATAAAAATACAAATGTGAAACCAATCATGCTAACTTTGGTTATCATAACAGAAGCAGTGTGAGCTCACACATATCTGAAAGAAGAGAAGTGGGAAAGACATGTGCTGTTTAGCTTGGTTGTCACCGTGGCACAACCTAACACTACCTGGAAGATGGTCTCATGAGGGACTGTCTCCCTCGGGTTAGCTGTGGGCTTGCCTGTGGAATTGTCTTAACTGATGGAGGAGGAGCCAGCTCACTGTGAGCGGTACTATTTTCTAGGCAAGGGGGTCCTGAACTGTGTTAAGAGCCAAGAAACAGAGCTAAGCAGAAGCACACATGCATTCACCTCTCTGCTCTTGACTGTGGGTACAGTGTGACCAGTTGCCTCATATTGCCACCATGTTTCTTGTAGCAATGGACTGTATAACCTGAGCTAACACTGCAATTGTGAGCTAAAATAATCCCTTTCTTCCCCAAGTTGCTTTTTGGTTAGGATATCTTCTCACAGCAACAGAGTCAAAGCTAGAATAAGATGATTCCATTTCTGCATCATTATCTTTCAGCATCATTTCTTCTTCTTAGCAACTGAGCCTACAAGCAGTGTCCTGTTGCTCTGGGAATCAGGTAAAGAATTCAACCTGTTTAGGTGTGGTGGCTGCTCAGAATCTCTTGTGTCCTGGTAAGCCAGAAGGAACCCATTTTAAGATCTGGCAAGTTGTGATGCAGATTTCCCTCTTCTAATGTGGGAGGTATTTCCACAGGAGTCTACTGATGACAAGAGGCAACCTAAGGGAGAAGAGTCTAGTTCAGCTCACGGCTTAAGAAGAGACTAAGAAGGGCTACTATCAATCCGTCTTGGCTTTCAATG